GGACCATTGTTAGCAGTAGCCTCAAATAGAAATGGCTGAACCACTTTGGTTGAAATTCAGCCTGAGGCAAGTGGCTGGCATGGAAAACTTCAGCCCCATAATGGGACTTTGGCAAAGTTATAAACAATTGAAAACAGAGTCTTATAGTAGGACATGTCAGGCAGCCCTGCCTCTAATAACCTGTTTCATTCCTTATTTCTGATGTAGATAATTTAATAAAAGTGAGGGAGACTCAACTGTATGGAGTATAGGTAACTGATAAAAATGAGGGACCAACTTCTATTTTTTCTTAAACATACCTAAGAGGGGCAAAATAGAGAGCCCAGCACTTCCCACGTAAGCTGAAAACTGCCACCCCTACCTATGAGTGGTTATTTTTGACAAAGTCCACATCAGTGGACGATTTTATCTCCGCTTTAGAATTTTTTCAGAATGGGTGTGGTCCTGGACCAGATGAGATCACTCCGGGCTGCTCTTTAATGAAGCTTTACAGGGAGCAAATGTCTAAGTTGGGTGTGGGATTTGAGCATACTGCTCTGCTGCATAAGAGAAGTGGGAGTCTTTATGTTTTTGGAACTCTCCACTCTGATGGTGATGAAAATATTGAATCCTATACAGTTGTGGGTGTTAAATTAATTTTTTCTTAAAACTTTTCTTTCCTAGGTTTGGAGATGGTCCTCGTCCACCCAAAATGGCTCGATATGACAATGGAGGTGGATTCAGAGGACGGGGAGTTAACCAGCGTGGCTCTGGCTACAGGGGTGGAGGCTATGGTGGTGGAGGCTATAACTCGTACCGAGGTGGCTCTGGAGGAAGAGGATACCAAGGTGGTTCTGGGGGAGGTTATAGAGGTGGGGGGGGATATAGAGGGTCTGGGGGAGGGTATCGAGGCTCGGGTGGAGGATATAGAGGGTACCAAGGTGGTGGGAATAGAGGTAATTATGGAGGTGGGTATGGGGGCCAAGGAAGGGGGCGTGGTGGTTATTGAAATCCATTGAAGTCTTTCTTGTACTCTAAAAAAAATGTGCATGTTTCCTTCTGGAATTTCTTTGTTACTAATACAGAAGTCTGTTTGTCATTCTACTTGTTCACAGTAGCTTGAAACGAATTGTTTAGGACTACTGGTGATATTATGTAAAATAGTCCTTACTACAGAGTACCACAGTCTGTATACTTTGTTCTTAATAAAGTGTTCTGTTCACAAGACGTAACATGTTTTGTCTCTGTATGATGATTGGATTCTGGACTTGAGCATGGCTGTTTCCTTTTAGGTTTAGCATTTGTCTATAGGAGGTATGAGAAATTTGGGAGAAATGTCTCTTTATTGTCTCCAGGGTGTAAAAGAGCATGTGGGACAGATAGCAACAATTCTTCAGAATTGCAAGGGTTACTAGTCGTTGCTGCTTCAGACCATGATTGCACTGAATGGACAGAAGAGGAGGTTTGAAATCCTAGGACTTTGTTAGCCAATACGTAATGAGATGTAGAATATACTACATTAATAGATATTATGAGCACAATATTAATATAATGAACCCCATTATATATGTGTTGGGAAGCTACATTAAGTATTGTGCTCTCCCCACAATTCTATTCACCCATGTCAAATATCCTACTACATTTGTCAAAGCTGAAATCGGCTTTACAATTAGAAAAATAGGAAACATGGCAAAGCAAAGATGCATGAATGCTTTGTATCAAGTTCAGTTAGGATTTACTTTCATGGCTCATCAACACATGGAGTGTAATATTCAAAACAAAATATGGGAAAGTACAGGGAGATACCAAGGACAAAGCTGGCACAAACTAGTGGGTTAAACTTTAAAATGATGTGTAAAGAGTTGTAACTTGTAAAATCATTACTACTAGCTGAAATGTATATCTTTGAAGCATATAGCTGCAAGCATTTGCTTCCCAGGAAGGTATGCATGTCTCCTTTTATTGTACTGCTTTGTCTTTAGACCATATATTTAGCTAAATTGGATTATCTGGTCTTGAACACTTTTAAGAATGATCCTTGAGTGTAGCCAAACAATTGGCTACACCTTTTAGTCGATAACTTGAACAGCTGATGTGAGGGGAATCTCTTCCTTTGCTTTAGAATGCACTGTGCAAATAGGCCCTGCTGCAGTGCCAGATGACACTGTCCCCTTTCACTGCAGATTTACAGCAATTTAGGTTGTCCACTGGTTGGCTACTAGTATGTGCTGCCTTGCTCTATAGAGAACTGCCTAGTGAGGTAATAACATGGGTTAGGTTTCTCTGGCTCAGATACAGGAACCTCCAAGGGAAGTGTTTGAGGTTGATGTAGAGATGTTTGCCGACTCTGAAATTAACTCGAAGTATGAAAAACCCCATTCATCTAAACAGCTATTAACTTACAATGTTGACAGGTAAGCAGTGAAATAACTTGTATGATGAGAGGATTTCTGTTATCTGCCCATTCTACAAGGAGTGGCAGCATTTTGGCACCATGAGTAAGGACAAAGGATCTGAGAGTCCAGTATGTATCTGACCTGCTGCAAGGGGGAGCCAAACTAACTCGGAGGGGCAAGCACAGGGAATCCAGCAGAACTCCTAGGTGTGTTTGGATGCTAATAAATAGAGCCAAGGCCAGATAATGTGATATATCATGCTTGTAATCAGGTGCTGTCTCAGATGAAGAGCTATGGACAGAACTTGAGTGTTACAACCTTCCCCTTGCCCCCACCACCCCTGATTTTAGGGGGGTTAATTCTAAAAGAAACAGCCCCTCCCATAAGCCACAGAAATCATTAGACAGCAGCACAGTTCAGTAATTACCAACCTGGGCTGGATGTAAACTGGTAATGTATTGCTTAAAGACTTTATTCCATTACCAACTATCTGAGCTATCCACTCCTATTTTTTTCCTCTAGTTTACTGTACGGTGCTCCTTTTTCTCCCTATTTTTGATTTCCTTAATCTTAGTATAAGGTGTAATATAGCCTATTGTACTAAATTATTGCACATGTACACAAACAAATATGCAGAAAACTGTATTTTGTAATTAGATGTGTATATAAAACAAACAAAACAACTTTAAACTAAAACAGATATATATTTTGCAGAACTTCTATCCTCTCAGCTACTGAGCTTGTTAAGTGATATATGAATATTGCTAAGAATTCCCTCAAGGTTTCTCTTATTAATAGTATTGGGAAGTTCTTACTCCTGTTTTAGCAAGGTGGGAGAAGGCAGTGGGCTGATCTCTTGTGAACCACCATTGATGATGTAACCTATTGTGGACTCAAACTACAGGCAATGAAAACTATATTTAAATTAGTTGTCTTACACTGAGAAAATATAAATGTATATAATGGGGAAAATCCTATATAGTACAGCTTTCTGCAGCCCAGTGTCTCCCACAATTCTGCTACTTATAGGCTATTCCCCCATTCCTATCTGCTGGTTTCAGAGGCAATTAAAAGCTGTATCATAGCCTGTGCTAGACACATTCCCTTTCTTGACCGGAGGGCAAGATATTGCCTCCACCCAGCAATCAGTCATGGTTCTCTCTGCTCCTAACGTTGCCTTTTACATTTTTTTCATTTTGGGGCATTAAATAAGTAGCCTTCTTTGTTCTCTCCTCCTCTTGGACCAAGTATTTAGAAGCAGGTGGCTGAAGCCACACAGTCTCCACTGCAGTGCCTCTCTGCTGAGCTCTTCTTCCTCCTTTCAGGGATAGCAGAGCAGCTGCACAAGCACCGCAGTGGCTAAGCCTGAAAGGCTCTACAGAGAGCAAATTATGCTCTGCCTGTTCTCGGTCACCTGACCGTAGTGTGGCTAGGCACAGAGTTTGGAGTTGGACAGGCATGTTGAGACTCCTATCCTTTCAAGCAGCTGTGATTTCATTCCAGAAATGCCCAACTGGCCAGAAAGAGCTGAACAGGAGACCTAAGGATGCGGATTTCATTCAGCTGGCCCAGGGGCTAAGTCCTGAACTTTGAAACCACGTTCAAAAAAGTGGAATCTACAATCCAGATCCAACCTAAGCAGGACCTCTAAAGTAAGCCTCAGAGTAAATACCTCCCTTCCAAATTTTCTCCTTAGATAGTGATTCCACTGCACTCACCTTTTTGAAGAAATAATCAGGGAGGAATGGGTGTCTCTTGAAAAGGGTAAACACACTAACAGGAGGTTCTGATTCTTTGGCGCTTTCCGCTTGTAGAATGCTCTCTGATGTACTTAAGATTGATGCTGCTATAGCACCTCTACCAAAAGAGATGATTATTCCAACTGAAGGGGACTTCTTCCCCAAGGATCCAGTGGACAGCAAGGTGGAAGGCCATCCTTAGAAGGGATTCTGATGCCTCCTCAGAGCATCTCTGGCAGCCACAGGCTTTGCTTGAAACACAATGTCCTAGCTAAAGGACTTTAAAGCCCTTAAGGGCAGAGACCAACTGGACTTTATATTCAAGAAAATCTCCCAAACAGCATTGGTAGCAGATGCTTCAATGGATGTTATAAGATTTTTCTGCCCGTACCATGGCATCCAGCTCAGCAGCCAAGAGACGCATGGCTTCATCCCTGTAAGGTAGATACTCACTCCAAACAAATCCTGTGCTCCTCTGAATTCACAGGACCTCCCCTGGGAGAAAAATTAGACAAAAGTCAGTCCCTGCCCTCTCCAATTAGTGCTCAAAGAACAGACTACAAAGCTACTATCAGACACACTCCTTTTTTCCACCTTCCTCCCATAGGTTCCAGAGGAATGATAACACATGTTAAGAGAGAACCTTGGAACTGAGGGTATGTCTTCACTACCCGCTGTATCGGCGGGTAGCAATTGATTTATCCGGGATCGATATATCGCGTTTCATTAAGACGCGATATATCGATCCCTGAACGCGCTCACTATCGACTCCGGAACTCCACCAGAGCAAGTGGCGGTAGCGCAGTCGACGGGGGAGCCACGGCCGTCGATTCCGCGCCGTATGGACCCCAGGTAATTCGTTCCAAGATACTTCGACAAGTTGCGTATCTTGGATCGATTTCTCCCCCCCCCCCAGTATAGACCAGCCCTGAGAAGTGATCAGAAAACCTAAGGGTGGCTTCCACGACCTCCATGAGTTCATTATGACAATGAATGAGTGTGCCTCCACCTAGACCTCAGTTTAGAGGCAGAAATTCTCAATTTCCAGATGAATATCTTGCTTTTACCACACAAGTAGATGCGAGAGAGGGTGCACCAGGGATACTTCCTCATGCTAAGGGCCCTGCCCCCTCACTTCTTCATCCAGCCTCCCATAACCAGTAACCCCACAAAGCGTTAGCAGGTCTGAAATGAGATTTCCCATCTGGACATAGGAGTGATGGACATTCCCCCAGAAGAACACTTCTCAAGGTTTTACTCCTCCTCCTTCGTTGTTCAGAAGTGCACTGGAGGAGTCAGGGCCATACTCAACCTCTTCAAAAAGAGATGAAGAAAATTCTGCATGCAGTCCCTAGCTTTGATAGTGACATCCCTGTCTCAAGGCTACTTCCTAACCTCAGTGGATTTGGCAGACTCAACCTCCACATTCCACCACAGGCTTTTAAGATTTGCGTAATGGCACAGATCACTACCAGTACGGCACACTGCCATTTGGTCTCTTGGTCCCCAGGGATTTATGAAGATGCTGGCAGTGATCATGGGCAGACTCAGATCCCAGAGTATTCACCTGTATCCCTTTCTGGACAAGCCCTGTCCCACAGCACGTAGTGCCACGATCCAGACTTTGAATCTTCTGCAAGCACACGGATTTGTGATAAACACAAAGAAAAGTTCCTGGATTCTGTTGACAAGGATTATTCATCTGGATGTGGAGAAACACGTTAGCAACACTGATCTGTCAACCATCACTCAACAGATTCCAGAAGATCCAGGATCTGATATCCATGATGGACCAGTGCATGAACCCAACCATAGCTGTGCGGATTCAGCTACTGAGCTTCCTGGTCTCATGCACCGGAATCTCCCCAGGGCAAGGTCACACATCAGGTGCCTCCATGGCCTTTCTTCTGAAAGTATGAGACCAATCCCCAGAGCGCATACAAAATCAGGTACTAGTCCGAAACAAGATTTCCTCCCTGAGATGGGCAGTCCCGGACAAGTTCCACAGAGCAGTCTCCATATGCCTTCCAGACACTCAGGTTCTTACCAATGCCAGCCTAGACAGATGGGGAGTACATATGGAGCCCAGGGAAAGGAATCCTAGCATCAATCTCTTGGAGCTCAGTGGGTCAAACCAGCTGTTCTGAGATTCCAGAGCCACGTGGAAGGCAACTACATCATGGTGAGTCAGACAGAATGACAATGGTTGCATACATAAACAACCGAGGAGGGAGAAGCAGCGTTGCTCTACATGTAGAAATGATGGAGATAAAAGTGTGGGCAGAAAAGATTCTCTGTTCCATAAAAATAATCCACATAAAAGAGGAACTGAACCAAAAGGCAAACTAGCTCAGCCATTACCATCTCAACAACCCAGAATTATCTTCAATCTGATCACACAGATGTTCGGTTCCCTTCAGCTGACCAGCTTGCCAATCACAAGAATGCAAAGTGGCCGAAATACTTCACCCGGGAAGCAGATCCAAGTCTATGGGAACAGATGCTCTGTCAAACGGATGGCCTCAAGGCTGACTATGCACGTTCTCGCCCTTCTTTCTCATAGGGAAAATGAGCCAAAAGATGCAGCGAGAAAAAGCAAGGGTGATGTTAACTCTACACTGGGCATAGAGACCCTGGTTCTCTGACATGATAGATCTAAAGCTGAAACCACCACTGCAGCTACTGGTGAACTCAGACATCCTTTATCAAGGACCATTTCTCCATCTGGATGCAGCTCATCTTTATGTGACAACCTGGCTGTTAAAAGGGATGTGTTAGCCACACGTGGCATATCTTCCAAAGTGATGGGGATTCTGCTGTCTTCTATGAGGGGTTCCACACTAAAATCCTATTTCTCCAGCTGGACCAAATTCAGCAGTTGGTGTCAAAAGCACAGAGTAAAAGATCGTGGGACTCCAGTTAGTTTGGAATTTCTTCAGAAAGGAGAGGATAAGAGTTCATGCCAAGCACCGCAGCTTGCTAGGTGTCAGCCCTTCATAGTGTACTGGTTTACACTATCTTCTGGCTCCCTGGCCAATAAGCCTCAGGTATCCAGGTTCCTCATAGCATTTTCACTGGCCAGATCAGCCATCAAACTGATTTTCCTGAAGTGGGGCCTAGCACTGGTGTTGAAAACCCTAACCATCCATCCCTTTGAGCCTTGGACATAGCTGTATCACCATGTTACCTCTCCATCAAAACCTGTTTTCTAGTTGTCGTCACAATCACCAGATATGGCTGCTAGTTCTGGAACTCATCTATGCATGAACCTTATTATGTGTTCCATGATGGTAAGGGTGGTGCTAAGAATTTCAAAAATGTTCTTGCATAAGGAGAATTTGCCTTTCCATGTCTCATAGGAGACTGTCCTCCCTTCATCCTGTCCAAAGCCACAGCCACTGACTGGGAAGCTATGGCACACCTTGTATGTCAGATGAGCACTAAAGATTTATATCAAGTGTACAGAATCCATAAGGAGATCAGGCTCTCTGTTGGCTTCTTTTCACCCAGTATGCCAGGGCCTTAGGGTATCCAAGCTATCCCTGGTCAGATAAATCAGACTATGTATTGTGCAGACATACAAGGCGTGTGTGTGCTGGTCCAGAAGGAATTGATGCCTATTCCACAAGACCCTATGCAACCTCTTGGGCCAAAAGAGCATGTGCTTCCACCACAGGGGTCTGCAGAATAGCGACATGGAGAAGGGCTAACATTTATTAGACACTATAGAGAATCTTCTGTAGAGGCTTCTTTTGGCAAGAGGGTGCTACAGACTGTAATCCAGTAATAACCTTGCTTTTTGAGCAATCCTGAAAATGTTTTTCCTTTTCTTCATTTGTTCTCTTACCCCTCCTTACTCCTGTCCACTGCTTGCTTTTTCCCATAGGTAGTAGAATTGTGGGAGATGCTGGGCTGCAGAATGGAAAATTTCCGACCTGATCGTTTTGTCTGCTAGCAACATCTCCAACGATTCTACCCACCCTGGATGGCTTGTCAGCTGAGGGTGAACATCTTATTTGGATAGCTACCTTCCAAGCAAGGACTTACTGTACATAGTTATTTGGTTGGCATTGGAATTATTGTTACTAATTATTTTCTACAAGTTTTGACACTGCTTTTGAATGAATCATCTGGCAGTAGACTGGAGAAGAGGGTGTAGCTAGCACAGCTTTGAAATGCCTCTGCAAACTGCAGCCAGGAGAGAAGTAGCCCATATGTAGCAGAATTGTGGAAGAGACTGCTAACAGAAAGAAAATTACCAGGTAAGAGATTTTCCATTATCTACGTTTTCTCGCGCAGCTCTACTGATAGTAACCACAATAGAAGGGTCACTGTGAATAAGTTAGCACTGGCATTTTAGCCAGAGTTGTCTAATCCTACTCAGAGTAGGTCTGGATAATGACTATGTAAGGGTGTTCTACATTAGTGCTCAACTGTTATTGCCAATGCAGTTCTACCAGTGTAGTAACAGTGGAGACACTAAAGATCAGACTACTGTAGACACAGGCTGTTGTTCAGTGTTATAAAATGATCTTTCCTAGCCTGCTGAGAGGAAAAATATCTGTTCCCAGTTTAGACTATTAAGTCAAAGGACACACACTGTAACCCAGGACTGAAGGTGTGTGTTAGAGTTAGATGTTCTAAAAGTTGACTAGAGTTGCCCTTACTGTGCGCTTTAATTTCCATAACATTAATTCAAAGAAGCATTTAAGACTAACAGTCTTCAACTTGGAGTACTGTTGCTTTAATCAAACAATTTTTATATACCAAAACATAAATCAAATGCATGTTTAACTATTAACTACGCTGAGACCCTTGATATCATCTATTGTGTTACTACTCATCTCTAGGCTCAATTCATGCATTAGTTTGGAAAGCATATCTTCCTCTGCATCTCCCGATGCAGTAAATTCCAGTATCCCTCCTGTAGTAGAGAGTTGGTCCGTAGGCTGAAGGATGGTCACTCCATAACCATTGTTACTATAAATGTGATTATTTTTCATCTTCAGTTTCGGGACAGGAACAACCTGTTAAGGATTCAAAACAAAGTAGTTTTGAAGGGTGCATTGTGCTCTTACACACTTAAACATGGCATAAAAGAATGCTTGCACTGTTCACATTCAAAAGAAACTCACTTTCCTTTATAGTTCTAAGTATTCCTCTCAAAATGATAATGCCTTATCTCTGATTTTTAGATTCTCTCATAACTGTTAAAAGGAGCAACCTAATTCAAATCTGAAAAGCCTTAGCAAATACCTTTAGTACTAAAGTAGTTTTAAAAGTTAAAAACTACAGTTTCAATTTATTGAAATTTGATCTAACATGCTTTGAAGCTTCCCACTTTCTACTGTTACTATATTTAAGCAGGTATCTTTCACAAAGTATAGTATAAGTAGTAGCTTGCAATCCATTCACCATAGCCAGCTCTGCTGCCCTAGCAGCAGTTCACAATGGGACTGAAATTGTCAATCTTCCATTTTCTGACTGAAATCCTAATACAGGTCTGTAGCCTCTTACGCTGGGGTTACGTTCCGCAGTCAGTGCGTGAAGCGAAAATCGCATATAGTCAAAATGACCCTTGAAAATCCCTTAAATCACCCATAAAGTACAGTTTTGTGTATACCACTCTGTACAGTACTATGTATCGTATACAGCAATGTACAGTACATAATAAAGACTACATATGCAAAATATAATTTTAAAGTATTTTTAATAACAGATGGAAGAATGAAAGAATAAAAAATGAAAACAGTACAGTACTGTAAACCTGAACAGTCACCAGTCATCCTGGATATTCTTGCTAGTCTTGTACTGTACACACTCCAATGATTAGTCTTCCTCTTCCCCTGACAACACTATCATTGAACCACCAGGCTTAGGTGACGGAGAGTGAGTCGTAGACGAAGTGGTTGGCTCTGGTTCAGCTTGAGAAGTTGATTGTGTAGGCTCTGCTGCTGGTGGTTGTTTTTTCTTTAAAAACATGGTGATTGGCAACTGTCGCTGTTGTCTCTTGAGCTCCTCAAACATTTCTTGGTACAGTCTCAAATCATCCGTAATGCTACGTGTGATTTTGAGGCTTCGTTCCATAGAAGGATCATATTCAGAAATTAAATCATTCAAGTGTTTCGCTGGTTGGAACACTTTAGAAAACTTATGAAGATTCCAACTTGCTGGCTCTTCCTGTTCGTCGTCATCTTAGTCTTCTGTAGACTATTTTATCGGTTCCTCTAACTCTTAGTTAGTCAGTGTTTCTCTATGGCCCTCAATTAATTCCTCAACAACTTCTTCGAGGATGTCGATGAAGCCATCACCACCCACTTGCCTGGCCACCTGAACAATGAGTTTCACTTCTTTGTCAATGGTCAGGAAACCCTTAAAATCATTCACACAGTCCCATAGGTTTCGCCAACATGCATTGACTGTTTCAGGCTTGACTGCATCCATTGCCTGTTCAATATAAGTG